ACCGTGAGGAAGAGAGTTGTTTCTGTTTCAAATATGCTGCCTGATTGGTTGTGGATTTTTGCCCAACCTTATTAAGTTTGGACCATGTTTGGTTGCAGGGAGAAATCCAACCAGGTCTAGTTTAGGTTTGTCTAACTGCAAATTAATCCTCGCTTCAATTTCTCCTTTTTTTTTTTTTTTTTTTCTAAAATAACAAAAATCATTATCCTAGAATTTCTCCATGTGGAAAATAATAATAGTGAAGAATAATACATATATAAATAAATAAAATAATTTTTATGTTAATGTTTAAATTCTAATTCTATAAAATATGAACAAAAACAAAATACAAATAACATCAAATTTTAAATAAAAATAATAGTTAATTCTACGTCAAGTCCATATTCAATTCAAATTTTACAGTTTTTATGATTCTTTTCTTAATAAATAAGAGCACTAAATTTATAATTGGAAAATTAAAAATAACAGAAAAGTTAATTAAATTATATATTAAATACTTAAGTTATAATCAATTTCAATTTGGTAGATAATTATTATCAATGAATTAAATGAGAAATCCATCTTTGAATTTTTAACTTGGATTCATCTTGGGAATTTTTCATTTACATTGACTAGCTGCATGGGATTTTATTTTCATGTTTTCAGTTTTTTAATTCTTTTGTTTTCTATCAAAAACCATTATTGATCATGAAAGTGTAGGATATGAATAATTATAGAAGAATATATTCTTGATGTGTAATGTGTAATGTGCAATAGAGAATATATTCCTTGATGTTATTAAAAGATTGCATTTAGTATATTTATTGATACATAAATAAGTGATACATGCAAGATGTTTAAGTGTCTATTTGATCGAATTTCTATTTTTGTCGCCATAAAAAATATTAGTATAATTTGACAATAAAAAATAAAAATATTTTTCATATAAAGTTAAGATATAGTTTTTGTTTTTAAATTAATAAAATCAAAAGTTAAAAATAGATGTTTTGGTGAATGACTTAAGTTGTAAAAGATGAATACTTTCTAATGAGTAAATTTATGAAATTTTATGTTTAATTAATTTACTATGTCTAAAATAAAAATATAATATTAATTTATTATAAATAATATCAAATATTAACGTCCAATATGATTGCCATAAAATCTTTAAGGACAGAGTCCATCTTCAACTCTTCCATTTTGCATGACATAAAAAATCTCCATTAACTGCCAATGGTTTGATCACAATCACTTACCAACTGAAATGGAATGGGTACTAATGAGTTTATAGGTGATTCAAAATTTTAATTGTAGGATTAGAAATGACCTGGTCATATAGAATGAATAGTTCATTCATTTCTTAGAACAACTTTATTCACCACATGCTTAATTGAATATATTAAATATACATACACTTCTAGGATTGCTAGTATTATAATACTATTTGTTGAATTGAAACTTTCACATTTTTCGAATGCATTTCTTAATAATTGCAATATGGCTTATGAGATAACAATGATCAAGTTACATTACTGATGGTGTTGCGATTTCTTGTTTTAGCCTTTTCCTTTCTCCATGACTAGTAAACATTAAAGTGTGGGAGAGTTTAACAAGTTATTTTTTAAATTGACCTGTATGAACCTAATACCATTAATTTTTCCTATCTCTTTATCATATTTTATGGGCTAATTTGTTAAAAATATATTTTCGATATAAGAAAAGGCTCAAGATAAGGATCATCGTCCATTATGAATAAGAGAAACATAAATTAAAAGTCAATGGTCAAGGCCCTAGTATCAAAATGGGGGTCAAGATGCTAGAAAAAATAAAATTCAGAATCAAATTCTAGAAAGTCAACACCTAGGCGTTGGGAGTTAACTCCTAGGCATCAATGCAGATATAAAAAAATAGAACCTTAGTACTGGGACAATGGCTTTTGGCGTTCTAATGCTTGAGGGGACAAATTTTTGCCCTTTTTAATTTGAAAAGTTTTGATGGAGATCTGTAAAAA